TTACTCTCGTCTCTCTCTCTCTCTCTCTCTCTCTCTCTCTCTCTCTCTCTCTCTCTCTCTCTCTCTCTCTCTCTCTTTCTCTCTCTGTTTCCTTTCCTCGTCTCCTATGTCACGCGCAACCCCCTCGCGGCGATTCGCGTCGACCCTTACTGCCGGCGTCCGTCTCTCTTTGCTGCTATATTCCGGATTTAAAATCTATTTTCCTAATTGTAACCGTGCTGTGGTTTCCCCGACTTTCCTTCTTGATTTTCATTTCCATCTTCGCAAGCGCGCCCGCGTCGGTCGCATGTCGCAGACAATGTTTTCGCATTCGGCGTGACGAGATTGTAAGTACATCAAACAGTTGAGCTGTTTCGAAGAATCTCATTTTCCGCTAAAGTAATACGCGCTCCACGCGCATCCATTTATATGCATATCTTACGCGTCTCTTCGCATCGCAGAAATAATTCGCGATTCAACGTGGGCGTGTAGCGTCGCTATTTCGGCACTTGGCAAGTGCACGCCGAATTTTCACGAAAGATGCCTGAAGAATGGCACCTTCCTTGCGTCTTTATTTCACGAGGTCGTAAGGGGGCGAGCGAGCGAACGGCGTGACTGGTGGGCGAGCCGTGGCGGCCCGGGGAGGTGGGCCGCAGGGGACGGGAGGTACTGAGCAAAGGGGGAACCAAGACTCCGGTCAATTAAGCGCAGGAAATTAGAGTTTTAATTACGCAGTCATTCAGAAAATTACATCGGGGCCGTGAAGAAGGCATCCGCAATCGGCCAACGAGCGGCGGCGGCGGCGGCGACGGACGGCTTTTCCCTCCTCCCAGATTTTCGATAGTTTTTTTCGAAAGCAATGTCACGCGCGTACGTTATATGCGTCGAGTAAATCAATTTATAAGCGACCCTAACCAAGTCACCTTTGCGACAAAAGTTTTGATGAAATCGAGCACGCGAGCTTTGAAGGGCGTGATTAAAATATCGGTCCATTTAATCGATGGGATTCGATAACCGGATGGCATGGAATCTAGTCGGCGGTAAAACTCGAAACACGATGTCTGTTCACTTTAATTGCGCCCTCCGCACGTTGTTTCCTTTTTCCATTTTTCTCTAGAAGTTAAACACACATCTATTAGGTTCATACAAAAGTCGTATCTATTAAATAATGCTAAAAGCGAAATTACCGCAAAATTGAAGCAAAATTCTCGCTTCTGGTTTTAATAAGCTCGCAAATTAGAATTTTTTATCGTAGAAATGTTTAAATTTCTTTTCAAACTACGAATTTCTGATGTTTTAATAATTAACGTAATAGAAGAGCCATAAATTTTCCGCGCCGATATAACGTCTCGTTTTTAACACAACAAATACGGCTAAGCGGGCGAACCTACAATGAAATATAGAAGAGAAAGAGAATAAATAATTAATAACATACAGTGGACGTGTTCACGACTCACAATTAGCGTTAAATGCGGTTGTTTGATTTGCAGGCTATGATAACATTGAACGTAATATTCATATCAGATGAATGAAATGCAGTATTCAGACGCACCGCAATTAGCGCAAAATGCACGACTAAATAACGACGCGGACGCGAACTTAAGGCGCGTTGATTGAATAGCGTTAAATTAGTGCGGTTTTGTTTTAATTTGTTCCGAGCTCGGCCCGACGATGAATATCGAGAGGTCAGCGGTGAAATTGAATATATCTCGCCGACTAAATTTCCTTGCTCATCCGCACGCGCGAATCGAGCCCGTGCCGGCCGGTCGACCGACCGACAGAATCAGTCAATACGCGAGATCGCGTCGATTGTTTGTCTGTGCCGGGCTGAGATTATATTTTAATCAGTTTACCGATTGCGGGCCGCGAAACAGGATGCCTTTCCGTTAAATGCCTCCGCCTGAGCGAACTTAATCAAAAACGCCGTCAAACTCGGCAAGAGGAGAAACTCGATTTGCCGTGACGAATTTTATTGCGAGCGCTTTCCGCCGAGCGGAGGATGCAGCGATGTATCGACGCTTTTTACAAACCGGCTTCTAACCGTACATGTCGAGGTAATACAGATTGCTCAATTACATGATCGAGGAACAGTTTAACGACGCTTTACACGTGTTTGAAAAGGCATCCCCCATCTTTTACCGTTTATTATCCGTGTATTTTTTTTCTTTTTTTTT